ATACAAACACAAATGTATAAAATGTGTTTGTGTTTGTATAAATAGAGAGAAAATTGTATATAAACATATATTTTCGTTCCCTCTCTCCCCTATCCCAGATCTCAGTTGTTATTGTCCCAGATCTAGCTCGCCACCCTCGCCTATATCACGTATACAAACAGAAAAGAAATGTATAAATTGTATTTTTATTTGTATAAAGCGAGAGAAAATTGTATATACACACACAAATGCATATACATTCGTCCTATACACTTATAATTATACAATACAAAATATTTCCCTGCCCATTTTTCTTCAGTCTTTCTTTCTTTCTCGTTTTATACATACACAATACAACTGATCTTTTGTATACAACTTCTTTCTTTTGTATATATATAGCGAATTATACAACTGCTTTCTTTGTATATGTATAGCGAATTATACAACTATTTTCTTTGTATATGTATAGCGAAATATACATATATATGTTTTCTATGAAACACAATTATGCAAACTATAGCTATAGCATGCAAATATGATTTTTACGTTTGCTATATGTAAAAGTTATCACTCTATTAGAATCCTATTTTATACCGCGATAATTCAGATTAATAGGACGATAAGTTGATAACAGGGTGGAATAATGGAGTATAGCATTATTTCTACAGTAAAATCCTATTTGTAATAATTAGGTTATGCGGCAATAAATGTAATTCACCTCGCATAAGTTGTTTGGATAATCATAATAAATACTTCATCTTTATTAATTCATATTCTAAATATTACTCTTAATTTGAGATAATCATTTTTAGGGCAAAAATTAGATCACCCCAAAATACAAACACTAAGATTAGTGATATAATGAAAAATTTTATTCATAATATTGCATAAAACAAGAAACACACCACATGAATTATAAGTCTAGTGCACCATAATTGCATATAATTCAAAGACCATGACTAGTTTTTACAAACAAAACTAGCACTATACATCTTTGAACAATTATAGTGTCTTTTATTCATTCATGAGTATTTCCGATACATATGGTGAATATAAAATACTCTTAATTTAGCATGGCCTAGTGCAAAAGCAACGGCGACGGAATCCACGACAATCACCACCGGAAAATCCTTCGGTCTCACATACCGAGGCACAATTCTTCTCACTCACACATGGTCCTTTGAAACGATGACTCTGAGACTCACAAGTTCTTGCCTCAACAATTCTCATTGGTCCTAAAATACATCGAAGTGTTATAAGTTGCTTATCAAGGTCATGATATCATACAAGCATGTTAAAAGAAAAAATCGAATCCAAAATTTAAAATTATAAAAAAAAAATGTTGACCATGTTAGCTATAGGATTAGACTTGAAGGATACACTATGCACACTATTATAATTAGAACAAAAAAAATTCAAAAATCTTTTTGCAGTCTCAAATTTCGAGTTAACTAAAAAACACACAAAAATGATACGAATGGATATTCAAAACTTCTAAATTTTGAGCGTAAATTCAAACATAGAAATTTTAAAAAAATTTATATATGTAAATAGAAATTCATAAAAACTATTATAAATCATAGCTAACAACTTAAAATATTTAAAAATTCAGTCAAAATAAAACTTAATTTATCGAAATTCCAAATGTATCATGAAAATTGGGGAGAAAGGAGTATCATATTATATTATGGTACTATACGGAACATGATGAAATGATCGGAATATTTTCTCTTGGTTTTAATCAGAAATCTCGAATCAGATCATGTAAATGTCCTTGCAGACATAACATGACGCGAGAAGAGTCAGACCGGTTCGATTTCAAATATCGAATCGTTAAAAAAAATTAAATTATAAGGAAGAAGAAGCCGAACCAGTAGCCATGACAAGCATTGCTAGAAGTAACATAGTAGCAAATAAACGCATGGAGTTTGCCATTAATTTTCACAAACAAATTTTTTCAATTTTTATTTTTTGATATTATGTTAGACCTAATATTTGTGTGGCTTTTTATAATAAGATAAAAGATGCTAAAATGAGTGTCTCGTGAACTTGTACTAAAAGTTTGTTGGAATATTTTTGGTAGGTAAAATCACGTTTTTATACTTTGTTGTTTATCGATATAATTTATAAATATATGGACTAATTTAAATTGATTGGTGAGATAAGAAATAATAATCTCGATATTTATTTGGTATTTAGTTATAATTATTAACTAAAAAGATTTATTACGATCGGGGTTTGGCTATAAAAGTTGTTATTCTTTTTTTTTCTTGTATATCAAATTTAGAAAAGGAAAAATGGTCTGATATACCCCCAACTTTGTCATTTAGAGCTGATATACCCTTATTATGAGAGTGGTTCATATATACCTCTATTTGTAAATAAATGGCTCATATATACCCTTTTCATCTAACGGAAATGGAAAAAAATAATTTTAATCTACATTTTTATTTTTATTTTCTAAAAAAATATAATCTCATATGAGTAAATTTAATCATCGTCAAACATATTTTTTTTTGACTTTTTTTTGTTTCAATGACTAATTTATAATTATTATTTTGATAATCAAATTTATTTATATTTCACTAATATTCTTGCAAAACTTATTGTAGATGACCAAATTTTTTCTTTGAATACGAAATTAAATTATAATACACACACAAAAAAAATAGTTTAATTTTTTTTCTTTAAACTAAGGAATGAAAGAAAAAACAAAATAAGAATAAGAAACTCAAATAATTATAATAAAAGAAGTCAAAAAATAATTGATGCATGAAAAAAATGAAAATATACCTTGAACTTTGATAGAAGAATCATATATACCACTAAATAATTTCTTTAAAAAAATTAGAAGTAATAAATATAAATTTAAAACTAATTTTTTAACTTCCGTTAAATGAAGGGTATATATGAGCCATTTTGTAACGGCAGGGGTATATGTGAGCCATTTGTATAAGGGTAAGGACATATATGAGCCACTTTTATAACGAGGAATATATCAGCTCCAAATGATAAAGTTGAGGGGTATATCAGACCCTTTTTTCCTTTAGAAAAAAACTTATGACTCATTATTTAATTTGAAATTATATTTAAGTACGTTTAAGTATGGACATTATTTTTAAATATATTTTATAAGAAATATAACTAATCACAACTCAATTTTTAACTTTGACTCCGTAAATTTTCAATTAAACAAAAAATATTTAAAATTAATGATCAAATGAATTTATATAATGGTTGTTCTCATAAGATATTTTTATTTATCTCATTTCGATTACCAAATAAGTCTATGATGTACATCATATTATAAGTTTAGTAAAGTAATTAAACAACCTATGTGAATAAATATACCTCAATTTATTTATTTACTTTTTCTATATTAAAAAAGAATATTATTTTGTATACAAATGACTCTATAATTTAAATATCTCATATGATATATTTAAAATATAAAAATTTAAAGAATATTTTAACATATTGAATATATCTTTTACTTTAAAATTATAAAATCTCCCATAATTTTTAAAATCAATGAAACTAAAAACACATCAAAGTAATTAAAATGACGTTAAAAAGACGACGATTAGTTAGATACAAAAATTTATTTTGTATAGAAGTTTGAGTTCGAGTTTTAGATAAAAAAAGTTCAGAGAGTGATATCTCTCGAAATGGACTCTATTCGACACAAATTTAAATTAATCAGATTTCAATATAAATATCGAATATTGAAATAACAATATTTTTTAAAAAAGATTTATTTTTACTTTGTCTAACTTCATCCCCTAATTTACTTTTAATTTTACTTTAGTTTCTCTTCTTTTTGAACTCTATTTTAACTTTTAGCTTGAGTTTTAAAATTATTCCTTCTATATATGTCATTTACATGCACACTTTATAAGATACACCGTTAAATGATCAAATCGAATTTGAAATATTCTAAAACTTATGGAGATTCAACTACAAAAAGATATACAATATAGTATTTTTTTTAAAATATAAATTCAAAATTAGTGTCTGTTTATGATATTTGAAAGAATTTTAAATTCTGTGATATATAAAAAAAATTAATTTAATGACTTTAAATATATCATTAATAATTTATCAAAAAGAATCTTGAGTTTATCGAAAAAAAAAAAGATGAACAATTATTATTATATGTCGTGATTTTATGAACCACTTGACCAATAATTGAATTACTATCCAACATATCTTGATGGATCTCCTTTATTTCTAAAGGGTCGTGAAATAATAAAGTGATAAGTAATAATTTTGAAATAAAATATCATATTTAATTGAGAAATATTAAATTTTTTTGAATTTAAATTTTACTATTTGTATTTCTAATAATAATAATATAATAAGATGCTACTTTTCTTCCCTCTTTCTTTTCTCGTTTTGTTAATTTTCCCCTCTAATGCGGGTCAAGTGGTGACGGGCGCGAGAGAAAAAAACCTAAGAGAAGACGCTTGTCTCTTAAGTCTTTTTCCGGTGCAACATAGGAAAGTGCCCTCTTTTTGTCATCCCCGCAGCTTTTCAGATTTCGTATTGAACGCATGGCGTAAGATTTGTGCCAAAAATAATTTTATCTACTAAAAATTATGAAGTAGAATAATTTGTCCATTCCATTGCCATTCAAATAACCCCTAGCTTAGACTTTAACCAATATTCCTATTTACGAAAAATTGTAAACTTATATTAAAGAAGAAGAAAAATTAATTAATACTTTAATTAAAGATTAAATATGTCTAATAAAATATCGTTGTGAATGATCAACTACAACAAAAATGATAGAAGGTATTTTTTTTTACTCCATGCTTATGAAAATACTGTACTTATAGCAAAAAAAAAATTACTCAGACATGAATCAGAAAGAATACAGAAACTTCCTCATAAAATTATCAATTTATCGCTTTCACAGTTAAAAATACTTAATAAAAAGAAATGATCGATTCTTGATTCCGCACAGAAACTTCCTCATAAAATTATCAATTTATCGCTTTCACATTTCAAAATACTTAATAAAAAGAAATGATCGATTCTTGATTCCGCATCGAAGAATATTTTATTAAAACTTACTAACAAAAAGGCTAAAAGACAAATTTTATCTATAATATTTCAAAAATAAAAATAAAAATACACCACATGAAGAATTACAAGTCTAGTGCACCATAATTGCATACAAATTCAAAGATCACAACTAGTTTTTACAAACAAAACTAGCATTACAATACATCTTTATTCAAAATTACATAATATTTTTTTTCTTCTCAAACTTCTTCTTTTACACATAAAAATCAAAATTATTTATTTAGCATGGCTTGGTGCAAAAGCAACGGCGACGGAATCCACGGCAATTACCACCGGAAAATCTTTCGGTCTCGCAAACCGAGGCACAATTCTTATCGCTCACACATGGTCCCTTGAAACGATGGCTCAACGACTCACAATGTCTTGCCTCTACGATTCTCGTTGGTCCCATTTCTGTGAAAATAAAATCATATTAGTTACGTACGAGTTACTTTAAACAACAAATCAAAGCGTGATACTCTCTACTTTGCAATTTATACGCATTATTATTTTTTTAATCTGTTTCGAAATGAATGTTACTAAATTTTTAATTTGAATATTATAAAAACCAACTTCTAAATAATGGCGTAAGATTAATGTATTTACACATTTTTACTTTAAATAAAAAATCTTTCTTATATTCTTAAATTTTAACCCTAGTCAAAATATATATAAACAAAATAGTCCCCCCACCCCCACCCCCACCCCCACCTCACCCAAACTTTAGAGGAAAAAAATAACAATATTATGGTACGATATTTAAATTTTTTACTAGAAATAACTAAAAAATGTGAGGAGATGACTTGAATTATCGATATTTTTGATAGAAAGTGATTTATTCGATAACATTATCGACATAATATCGAAAAGCTAATAAATTTTGAACGTAACCTAAATAAAAAAGATAGAAGTCTAACCAGTAGCCATAACAAGCATGGCTAGAAGAAACAAAGTAGCAAAGAAACGAATGGATTGTGCCATTTTCACAATTTTTTTGAGAGAGAGAAGAAATAATAATTTATTTTTTTTAATGTAATGTGAGAGATATTTAGACTAGTATACATGTGGTTTTATAGAGCTCTAAAGTCTTATCTTGTGGAAGATAAAAAAAAAATTCTTTTTTATTCATAGTTTGGATTAAACTAAGTATATATCACATGTGTTTTAATTTAGACTTTTTAAATTTATTTTTAAAAAGAATATTATCACTTTTGTATTGTTTTATTTTTAGCTTCTTTTTCTAATGTCATTAAGAAAAACAAGATATAAGGTATTATTTATTAAGTTATTCCTATTTAATTATTAGATGATTTTGAGAATTTGAATATTGTTAAATAAATAAATAAACTATATATTTCTCTAGTGTTAAGGATATGTTTGTTAAGAGGGGATTGATCAGATAATAAATATTTTTATTTCTAATTTAAAATTGTAGATTCGAGTCATTAAATGAGCAAAAAATGATAGAAGCTCCTAAAGGAGTTTAAAAAAATAAACTTCTCATAATAATAATAATAATAATAATAATAATAGTAATAATAATAATAATTGTTAGAAATAAAGATAGTAAAAATTAGAGGTCCAAAAACAGATTTTATCCATAATATTTTAGAAAAACAAGAAATACACACATAAAGATTATAAGTTTAGTTTTACAAACAAAATTAGTAATATTACATATCTTTGAACAATCATAGTGTAAATTATTCAAAAGAATGCAACCGTATATATATTATTGTTTTCATAAAGCATAAAAGTACATACACTCTAATAAAATTAATTTTTAGCGACATTAAATATTGACATAAAAGTTTTAAAGTTTTTATCAACATTAGTTAAGTGTCATTAGAATTAATGTCGCTAAAGGCTTTAGAGACATATACAAAGAGTGATAATTGTCGCTAAAAATAAATATTTAATAAATAATTAAAAATTAATTATTGCTAATAATATTTTTGTTACAGTAATAACTCCCTACTTTGCAATTTATTATGTGTCTTACTTTTTCATTTTTTCAATAACAATATTAATTATAAATTTAATAAAGTTTTTAATTTCATAAAGTTTTTAATTTAGTAAAAATAAAAAAAAATGTACAAGCCACACTAATTGACCCAAACTGCACAACCCATCGATTATCAAATGACAACATAATATTGTTAGATCAAATATTTTTATTACATTTAAAAATATATTTAAAAAAATATTACAGTATGACAATATTGACAACTTTAACGAGGACTACTAAGAAAAAATATAATGGCATGACAATATTGACTACTTTAACGGAAAATATAAAAGATATTTTAAAATGATTCGAAAGCGATAGTAATTTTTGATAGAAAGTGTTTTATTTTTTATATAATTAAATTAAAAAATTGAGGAAAAAAAGTAATAACCCGTAGCTATTTCAATCATGGCTAGAAGCAGGAGCGGAGGCGACATATATTTAGGGTTCATCTCTTCGGTGAAAATATTATTATTTATATGTGGTTAAAATTATTTTGTAGATATATATAATAGATGTTGAACCCTTTTTCACTAGATCGTATATTTATTTTTCAAATTTTAAATATATTTTTTTTAAAATTTTTAATTTCACTACTGATTAAACAAATACAATAATAAAGAAACGCATGGAGTATGTCATTTTCTTTTTATAGGGATTTTTCCTTGTGGAAGATGATACAATTAAGTAAATGATACATATTTTTTTTCTTTTTTATCGATCGTTTGAATTAAACTATATGTGCATACATACATACTCTTTATTTTTTAATTTATCTTAAAAATAATATTATTCCATTCATAGTATTTTAATTATCATCTTAACTCTTTTATGTCGTTAAGAAAAGGCAGATATATGATAAATAGTAAACATCGTTCACTTCCGTCCTTCAACTTAAGATCGTGGTTCGAATCACAAAAAAATAAAAAAACTTTCAGAAAGGGATAAAAAAAATTTAATCTTTCAATAATAATGATAAATAAATAAAAATATTAGAAAACCAAGTCGAAAAAATGGATAGCTTAAATCTTAAATTTCTAAAATGGTAATTTTTTAAAAGCCAAAATAACAGTTAAAATGAGAAGATATTGGTCGTGTGGAAGAGGTTAGTTTATTATAATCAGTACTTAACTTTTAAATTTCAATATCTTACGTAATATTTTTAACATCATAAAATTTAAAAGACATTTATATCCTATGCTTATATTGTTCAAAATTTTTATTCTTATTTAGATAAATTTAGAAGTAAGATATAAAATAAAAAAATAAGTTGAATATCTTATAAGTTTATTTATTAGTTCATATTACAATAAGAAGATTTTTTAAAAATAAAATTGTATCACATAATACTTTAATTTTAACATTTAATTTAAAATTAAAATTTATTTTTTTTAAAAAATAATTTTATCTACTGCACCAAGTAAAAAGCAATTTTAAATAATTTTTCTTTATGGACAAATCTAGATTGAGACTATGTGTCATTATATCACAAGTTCAAATTTTATCATGATAAAGATCATTATTATGTGTCATCCCATTATATCACAAGATCTTTTGTATCATCAAGTTAAATAATCTATAAAAAATTAATTTTTTATATAAATAAAATAAATAGTTATAATAATGGCTTAGTTTGGTCAAAAACTTAAAAAGGAGACGGGGTCTTGGTGAGATTTTTGTTTATTTTTCGTTCAAATTTGATGTCAATTAATCAGTACTAAACGTTTGAATTTTGAGAGAGATGCACATTCAAACACATTAACTCAAGAATCTTTATATTTTTCGTGAAATTCGAAAGTTTAACATGTATCTAAATGTTAAATTTTATTTGTTAAAGTGTTTAACTGATATTTCATTTCACCAAACACTTTGTCTGAATTTGAGCTAGTAATATGATTAATTATTGAAATAGTTGATTGATTAAAGCTGATAATAACACCTTAGTACTATATTTGTAATTTAGCTAATATAACACTTCAACATTTGTCAAATTTCGTATACGTGTGATATTGAATTGGTGAAAAAAATAATCATTAAAAAGCAAAAAAAAAAAAAAAGGTAATAAAGTGCAAAATTATTATCTGTCATTATTTATGACCAATAATTGAATTATCATCTGACATATATCATGCTGTCTTTATCTTTTATTATTATTCAGAGATTTCGATGTCGGCAACGTTTAAAATTTTAAATTTATAAATTATATTATGCGTTTAAATATATAATTTTATATCTTAATTTGATGTTTAAGAAATAAAATATGATAATTATTTTAAAACGGAAAGAATAGCAGTATTCAAATTTAAAATGCAGAATATCATTTTTAATTTTAAAAAAATATATTTTTAATTAAAATTTTCTTCAAAAATATATTAAATTAACAGAGATCAAATAATATAAAACGAACGAAAAAAATATATTAATATCACTACTCATGGTACAAAGGTCTACGGTGTAGGTTGGTGGGAATTTAAGCTACTTAAAAAGTGGAGGTAAAGATAAAAGTTATTTTAATTTATTTTGTTTGGTATTTAATAAAATAAATTAAAATGTTATGATTTTAAATTAAAAATATGTTAAGTATATTATTTTTTTATTTTAAAAAGAATAGTATTTTTTTCTTTTTAGTTTGTCTGAAAAGAAAATTTAATTTGTAACATTTATTTTTAGTTTTTCATGTGACATGTTTAATACCACAAGATTAAAAGACAATTTTCTATATATAAAATAATTTGAATTTAGAATCACAAGATTTACTCTTCTCGTGTCAAGCCAAACTTGGTGACTCTTTTTAAGGCGGAGGAAGTAAAATATTTATTAATTCTATAATCTTAAATATATTACGTGAAAAATTAAAACAAAAAATAAATAAAAAGCTAAAGAGAAAACTAGATCAAATTAAAAAAAAAAAGGACACAATAAAATAGAAAAGGCCAAATACATAGATAGCCCCTTTAACTTTGTGATTTTTTTCACGCAAAGTATTTTTTTTTTTGACTTTATACTCGATATTTCGAGTCACATTAAAATCTCGATTAAATTTAAATCGCACATTGCAAGATCTATTTAAAGATATGCTTTCAACAAGATATTTTCAATATACATTTACTCAAATTTAAAATCTCTAATTAAAAATAAAATAATTCAATCACTATATCACAATCTATATCGATACGTAAACAAATTAAAACTTTGCAACAACTTGGTCTGAACTCTGAAACACAAAGGTAAAAGATAAAAGATATGGTGGACCAGCATATATATCTCCATTATTCTAAAATTGACATCTCAAATATCATTTATAATTAAGCACTATTGCACATTGCACTAGACTACAAAATGCAATTTTGGGACCTAAATAGTTTTGATCAAAAATTATTTCGAATTTGAGATATCAGATTATAACAATGTTTACTCTTCTCTCTAACTTTTTGATCTTGTAGTTAGTGTTCGAATGCAGCACTTTGCACCATCTCGAATTCGAGATATTTGATTATTGAAATACTTACTTTTCACTTTAACTTTCGGTCTTGTAGCTAGTGTTGATATACAGACTTATACCTAAATTAAGGTCGGGTGTATACATAAATTAAGATCGTATGTATATCGCCACACCTTCTAAATTTATGTATCACATTAGTGAAGGGTGTACAACATATATAATGGGGATAAGTTGGAGACAAATTGAGATCAAATTAAAGTGTCTAGATGTGTATATTCATTTTTTTATTTTTCATTCAATGTTTGAGGTCCGTTTTAGAGCTCTGAATAAATCTGAAGTACGCACTGCAACCATTCAGGGATAGTGCTTCCAATCAATTTTTTCTCCATACTCAAAGCTCAAATCCGATCTATACATCTGATTAACTTGTTATCTTAGACCAAATTTGAATATCGGCTTATGTACATGTAAATTAGTGAAATTATGGTTAGTGACAACTATCATTACTGTATTCCCTTTGTCCCGTATATTAGTTGCTTCTTTTTCTTTACATGTCTCTTACGAAATTATGAATAAGAATGATAGTTTTACTAATTTACCCCCTTAGTAATAATTTATTTTGAAACTTTATAAACTTATTTACACTTTTTAAAAAGATTAACTATAAAAATATAATTAATTTTATCTTAGATTTTATTAATTCATATGTAACTTGGAAAAGCGAAAGCTCACCAAACTACCACAGGCAAAAAGACAATTTGCATTTAAATTCGCTAATACACAAAGAATTAAGAAATTTTTATCGATTTTACTTTAGATTTAGAGTGATTGAATAAGACGATTAGAAATAATGAACAGTCACGATCTAAGTTTGGTTAAAAATAGCATTTACCAAATACAAAAAGAAAATTATTTTTAATAATATGAATAACTAATATAAGACGCGGAAGTAATAATTTGGTTGGTGGAGTCTGTAGATATTATATTCAACTATTTAACTTGTGGCCACTAATTTTACAGTAGGTAAAAAAAAGGAGGACACAGTAAAAAATAATAATAATAATTTCTATTCCTGTGTGGAAAGCATTATATATTTGAAAAAAAAGAAAATAAAATAAGGAAACTATAGTCATGATAAGTCATTGAATTTGTCTTTTTGTGAAAATTATTGCACTTCCATATGTGTTACAATGTCAAAAGAAAAAAAGGACATCACCAGTCTGAAAATCAAAAAAGATTAGGCATGTTCATATTACTTTTAGGTTATCGTATTATTTGTTATTTTATTCGATTTAAAAATTTATTGAAAATAACGTTATCATCTTTATAATATAGTGATAGAAATAAAGATGCACTTGACTAAGGAGTGTCACCCGATACCTCTTCATTAAAAAATTATAAGAAGTTTCAATGATTGTAATAAGAAAATTAATAATGAGACTAGTAGAATTAGAACATACATCACCTCAGAAAATTTTTGCAACGCCTAAATTAAAATTTTTTAACTTGTGTCAAGAGTTATCGATTCTTATATATATATAAGAATCTTAAGTTGGCAAAAGGCCTACCAAGATGTTTGAAGCTAGTGTCAAGAAATATTACAAATGTAACATGTACCTACACAAAATTAAAATAAAGAGCATATATTATTTTGTTATTTGTCTAATTGTCTTCATTTTCCTATAGCTTATTTAAATAGTTCCTCTTCTAGTCCCACATTGACTGGACAAAAGAACTCCTATTGACAAATAGGATACAAAATGAGTCCTACCAAATCATTAAAAATTATACCTTTCTCGGCCTTTTGGCTAAGATCAAGTGTAGTATCTGTTCTTATCAGTTTAATATCTGATATGTGAGTCATTGACTCACACGATATTAACTCTATTTTTTGAGGGGAAGGTTCATCATGGTAGCTTGCTATTGGTACCTTCAAGTGTCGTCTAGGCGTTGCACTATTGCCTTGGCTTGGCACACCCCACCAATTCTAGTTGTAAGCCTTTCTTTTGATTGTTAGTTGAAGAATTTTTTAGGATTTTTGTGAAGTTATAATAACCTCTACATTTTTTGATTGAAATCGATACAATATGGTGGAAAAGGCAATGGACTTGGCCAAACTTGCTTTGTCTGGATGACTTTAATTAGACGAGTATGAGATTAGCTCAAGTGGTTGAAAATATCCACCATCAAACGAAGAGGTTATGGGGTTGAGTCATGTTAGAGGGTGAGTGAGATCACTATTGATCCTCCTCGGATGGGGTGGGAGAAATAACAAAACGAAATTTTTCTCCAAGGATTTAGATGAATCTCGTAAGAAAGACAAAAAATATAATGCACCAGCCGGGAATCGAACCCGGGTCTGTACCGTGGCAGGGTACTATTCTACCACTAGACCACTGGTGCTTAATGATTCTGTCAATTTACTAACAAGATCTTATTTTAAATATTTGATATCCAATAAAATTGCAAATGTAAGATCAATTATAATATATGTGGTGCATTTGTCACAATTTCAAAATGAAAAGTCATGATTAATACCCAAAAATCCACTATCTAAGATTAGAGAGGGATCGACTATATACTAAAAGCTAGGTCAGTAAGATCATCAATCCATTTAATCGTCATATTCATGGAGTAAATCTCTATAACATGCTAAAGCTAGGGTTTGTACAAATCAAATTCAAACAATATGCATGACATGAGTGAAAAATATTTTTTGTGATTTAGAGCTGATATATCCTTATTGAAACGTGATGTATATATGTTAGACAACTAAGGTATCTATGTAGCCATTTGTTAGACTATTGGAATTAAGTTATGATTAGTGGTCAAGAAGTTAGTTTGTTACATAAGGTAAAAAAAGAAAAAACAACTTAGTTAATAGTTAGTTACATGGTGTTAGAATGTAGACTCAATAAATGCCCTGGAAACTATAAAAATTCACTAAAGAAAAGGACAAATATGAAAAAAAAAAACCTATAAAATTTAATTATTTTGAAAAAGAAAAAGACTCAAAAAATAATTTCATATGGAATAGATGGAGCACCTACAAGTAAGCTTCATCGAAATGTGAGATGTGTAATTTTAGCAGCTTTTATTTAATATAATATATGATTGATGTAAGAAATATTTTGTATTAACAGATTCAAGGCACTATAACAAAAGAGACATTTAGTGACAATAGATGTCATAAAAATATTCAAAATAACTGAGGTAATGCCAATGCATCTAGAGTCACTTAAGTCATTAGCGACATTCATAACCAACCACGGGAGTCTTCTTTCGTCATTTATGTTGGAATTTTATTTAAAACAAATTAAATATAAAAGCTTTCATAAATGAATGTGAGTTTATTATCAAGTGTAGTATATGTTCTTATCAATTTAATATTTAATATATGAATCATTGACTCACACGATATTAATTCTATTTTTTAAGGGGGAAGGTCCATTACGGTAGCTTACTATCGGGATCTTCAATCATTCCCATGATGTTCCACCATATTCTTGGCCTGGTGCACTCCACCAATCCTATTCCAATTTAGATTATCTCAATTGATATGTAATAATGTTCTTTTGTAAAGAACTCTATGAATCTATAAAATATTTTTGTTATCATAATTGGTTGAACCTCAATCAATATAACAAAACATGCATACTACAATTTAGAATGTTTTCGATAAAATATTTTTGTTGTATTAATTTCATATGACTCCATAATAATTGTTTATTATATTTTAACAAAATTTAATTTAGTAAACATAATTACGGTTCATATTTGGTTAGAGAATAGTGAAAAAATTGAAATGAATAAAGTCAAATTTACCTACGCAAATAAATTATATAAATTATTACAAAATTAGTGCTAGACTTATCACAAAAATTTAAAATAAGAAGATGATGTATGTATATGTAGTCAAATATATATTGTATGGATAAATACGTCTGTAGAAATTTCCACAATTAAAATATTACTCGCTATTTAATTGTAACCATTATTTATTTACAATAAAAATATAAGATAATAAACAATCTCAATATATCTAATCAATTCTTCAAAGTATATTTATTTATTTCTTCTTCTTCTTTTTACTTTGAAAATAGTATATTTATGTTATTTATTTTGAAATCATTATAAATTACAAGAATATTCCTTCACTTCTAAAAAAGATGATTACATGTAAAAAATAATGTTTTTTTTTCCCTATGCAACCAAATTATACTTCTACCCATTTGTAGGAAGGTATACTATAATTTATTTTATATTTTTTTTATGTAAGAAGAAACCCTCAAAAAAGAATTTAAACTTTTCAACTAAAATCACACGTACACGCACGCACATGCACACGCACACGCATGTACGTGCATAATCAAAAGATAAGATAAATACACACATAAATATCCCCAAAAAGAGTTGGTCGGTCCAGAAGTGGTCAAACCAGGTGAATATAAAAGAACCCTAATGATAGGGTTTTATGATTTGTGCTCTCCACCTCTTCTTCTCATTGTTCTAATCGCCTCTGCCGAGATGTTCTCTCTTGTGCTCCACAACTGTAGCTTCTTCCCCCTTTGGTT